TACTGATCCTCAATGATGCACATATGAAACATACATAATGTAATGCAATATTGCTTCAATTGAAAAAAAAAAAAAGAACGTGTAATTACCATATGACCCAATAATTTTATTCTTGGAAATTTATCCCAGAGACATAAAAACCTACACATGATTGTTTACAGCAGATTTATAACCTGGAAATCACCCAAAATGCCTGTCACTGGCTACATCCCCATGGTAACCTATACTATAGACTCCTTGTCAACGAAAGGAAGTCTACTGCCGTCATAAACAAACTGGATGAATCTCTCTAAAACTGTGCTGAGTGAAAAAGTCAATCCCAAAAGGTCACATACTATATAATTTCGCATATATAACATTCCTTAAATGTCAAAACTATTGAAACAAAGGACAACTGTGACTGTACAGGGGTTAGGTAGATGGTAGGAGAAGCAGGGAAGTGGGGTGTGGCCATTCAGGGGAATATGAGGGGTCTCTGTGGCGGCAGAAAGATTCTGTAACAATATCAAGATCCTGATTGTGATCTTGTGCTACCTTTTTGCAAGATGTTATCATTAGGGAAATCTGGACAAATGATACACGGACTCTGTTGTTTCTTAAAACTGCTGTAATGCTACAAGCAACTTGGAGAATGAAATTCAATTTTAAAAAGTGTATATAGCAACAAACGGCAGAGCAAAGTCAAGCTTTTCTTGAAGAAAATGAAAAATATAGGTGAAGATATAGAGCTACGTGACCTAAGGATGATCTATAAAAGAGTCTGGAATAAAAGTAAATATACACTTAGTTTTGGGGCCCTCTCTGGTGGACCTTTCCTGACCTGCCCACTGCTCCCCTCAGCAGTGTACTTCATCAGTCTGCCTGTTCTGCTCCCCACTCTGTCTCTGGTGAATCCTCTCACTGCCCTTGCACCTCTGGCTTGTACCCCAATTCTGTATGCATAAATAAATAAATCTTTTAAAAATATATACACTTAGTTCTATTCCACAATTTATCTACTCAGTACATGGCTTAGAAAATTAAAAAAAAATGTGTTATAAAGGACAGGGGATGGGGGAGATAATGAACAACTACATACCAGAGACATTTTATGGGGTTCGAGTGGGGAAGGGGATCAAAAAAGGGAGGAGAGGGTGGGGAGTACACTGGACTATAGTGATGGTACACGGATGATCTGGTGATTGGAAGCTCACAGGATTACAACTGAGATGGAAAAAGGCACAAAATGATGTAAAAATAAACTATTATATTATTAAAAATTTATTATATATATATTTAATATTGTTCTTCCTTTTTGTACATTGCATGCTTTCTCCTTTCAGGTATAGTCTCTGAAAAATTCCCATCACCAATTCACCTGTGCACCATCACCACAGTCTCTTGTGTAAGAACACATACCCTACCCTGTTTTGGTCCCTCTCTGCCCCTCCCCTGCAAAGTGTCTCTGGTTAATGTTGTCTATTAAGTTTGTTTTTTTGATTTATTATAATTATTTACTTTCATGGTCCCTTATTTGTTTCCTGTACATTACTCTTATAAGTGAAATCATCTGATATTTTTCTTTTTCCTTCTGGTTTATTTCATTGAGCATAATCCCCTCTAGCTGCACCCATGTTGCTGCAAATGGCATGCTTTATCTTTTTTGTTGCTGCATAGTAGCCCATTGTGTGTGTGTGTGTGTGTGTGTGTGTGTGTGTGTACCAAATCTTCCTGATCCAGTCATCTATTTTGGGGCATTTGGGTTGTTTCTGTATCCTACCTATTGTAAATAATGCTACAATAAACACAGGGGTGCAGGTATCCTTTTGAATTAATATTTTTGTGTCCTAAAAGTAGAATGGCTAGGTCATATGGTAGCTCCAGTTGCATGAGGAGACACTTAAAGAATATTCATAGCAGCATTATTTCTACTAGTAGAAAGAAATTGGTTGCATTTTCCAATGACAATCCCTGGTTTTGGTAACATCCTATGTGAGATGTTATCATTATGAGTTTAAAATTATTTAAACTTACAAAAATTTAATTGAATACATTTTACCAAAAATTACTTAAAAATCAAAGTGATAGTAGGCTACCAAATAACACACACACACACACAAAAGGAAGAACTGCTTCTATGTGCCTCAGCAGATTAATTTTAGGAACATTATGTTAAGAAAATGTAAGTTACTGGAGAGCAATTGATAGCTTATGCAAGGTCTAAATATGCAAACAAAAAAAATAGTGTTGAAGGATGAATCCAAACTTGATAAGACTCAAAGAAAGCCTGGATTATGGATTTCTACATTGGGGAAGGAGTTATGGAAGGGCTTGCAATGAAAGAAAACAGGGAACATTAAAAGTATTAAAAGTATTAAAAGTATTAAAAGTACATTAAAAGTATGTGGCCCTCCCTAGTGGCGCAGCGGGTTAAAGCACAGCACTGAGAATATAAAGCCGTTTCTGCATGAGTTCGATTCCCGCCTGCCCCGGAGGTGACCACATGGTGTGGCAGACCTCTCCTGACCCAC